CGACTTTTCGACTCCTCGATTTCTCGATCTTTTGATTTTTCGATTTCTCGATGTCGCAGTTTTTGAATTTTTTGAAGTTTCGGTTTTTCGGTTTTTCGATTTTTTACTTTTCAGCTTTTCGATTTTGAATTATCGGATTTTTCAATTTCCCGATTTTTTAAATTTTCGGGTTTCGATTTCTCGATTTGCTGATTTTTCAATTTTTCGATTTTAAAATTTTAGATTTTCGAATTTTTATATTTTTGATTTTTTGATGTTTAGATTTCTTCATTTTTTGATTTTATGATATTTTAATTTTTCAATGTTTTAAATTTCAGATTTTTTGATTTTTCAGTTCTTCACTATTTTTTAATTTTTCAAATTTTGACGTTTCTGAATTTTTAGTTTTCCGATTTCTTAATGAATCTATTTTTTTATTTTCCCATTTCTCGACTTCTCAAAGTTTCGATTTTTCGATTTTGAACGAAATCGAAAAATTGAAAAGTTAAAAATGGAAATATTGATAAATCGCGAGATTAGCCAATCAAAACATCGAAACATTCGGGTTTCCGGATAAAAATTAGGAAAATTGAAAAATTAAAAAATATAGAAGAACTGAAAATTCGAGAATCCAGAATTTTAAAAATTGAAAAATTACAATATCGAAAAGCTGAAAAATTGAGAAATCGAAATATAAAACAGGAAAATTGAAAAATCTAAAGTTTCAAAAAAAAACAACTGAAAATCAAAAAAATAAAAAATCGAAAAACTGAAAAATTAAACTAAATTTCCAAAAATCGAGAAATTAAAAAATTAGAAAATTGAGCAATTGGAAAATCAAAAAAGTAAAGTCGAAAAATCGAAAAATTGAAGAGCTGAAAAATCGAAACTTTGAGAACTCGACAAATGGGAAAAATAAAAATAGATTAATTCAGGAATTGGAAAACTGAAAATTTAGCAACAACAAAATTTGAAAAATTAAAAAGAAGAAATACTGAAAGACTGAAAAATAAAAAAATCGAGAAATTGAAAAATATAAAATTTAAAACATTGATCAAGTAAAATATCGGAGAAATCCAAAAATCAAAAAATAAAAATTCGAAAATCTCAAATTTAAAAAGCGAAAAACTGAAAAATCGACAAATCGAGAAATCGAAACCCCAGAATTAAAAAATTGAAAAATCGGATAACTGAATAATCGAAACATCGAAAAATTGGAAAACCGAAAAATTTAGAATTTTAAAAACTAAAAAATTAAAACATCGAATATTTGAAAAATTGAAAAATTGAAGTATAAAACAGTCGAAAAATTGAAAATTCAAAAAGTAAAAAATCGAGAAATCGGCAAATCCAGGAGACTAAAAATTGAAAAGTCAAAAAATTGAAATATTGATAAATCCCAAAATTGAAAGAAATATCCAAAAATCATCGAAAAACTAAAAAAGCAAAGATCAAAAATCGTGAGCTTAAAAAATTGAAAATTCGAAAACCTGAAAAATCGAAAAATTGATTTACGTTTTTTGTTTTTCTTAATTCTAGAGTTCAAAATATTCCGATTTTAAAATTGTCTACACAATGAGTTTTGCAATAACGATAAACATAATTTTTTACACTATTTCACCAAAATTATTACAACTTTTTTGCGAATTTTGCAAAAATTTGGAAAAGTTTTTTTGCAACTACGGTCATCGTGAATTCGAAGTGGGGAAAGGGGATTTTATGTTGGTTTTTTCTTACGATTTGTTTTCTATGACTAAATTTTGGAACGTTGATTCTCGGGCATCCTCTCATAGCGAAGTGTGTACCGAACGATATTCTTATGATTTGACCATTCGTGTTTTTCTTATTTATGTGTGATATCATATTAGGGAATTGAGAGGAAAAAAAATGCTTTCACACTCACTCATCTATGACAAAATGAACTAAATTTCCAAAAATCGAGCAATTAAAAAATTAGAAAATTGAGAAATCGAAAAATCAAAAAAGCAAAGCCGAGAAATGGGAAACATAAAAGTAGATTAATTGAGGAATCGGAAAACTGAAAATTTAGCAACATCAAAATTTGAAAAATTAAAAAATAGAAATACTGAAGAACTGAAAAATCAAAAAAGCGAGAAATTGAAAAATATAAAATTTAAAACATTGATCAAGTAAAATATCGGAGAAATCCAAACATCAAAAAATCAAAAAATAAAAATTCGAAAATCTAAAATTTAATAATCGAAAAACTGAAAAATCGACAAATCGAGAAATCGAAACCCCAGAATTTAAAAAATTGAAAAATCGGATAACTGAAAACCCAAAAAATTGGAAAATCGAAAAATTGAAAATCCCAAAAGTAGAAAATCGAAAAACACAGAAATCCAAAAACGAAACATCGAAAATTTCAGTTGAACAATCAAAACTTCGAAACATCTGAATTGGATACATCGAGAAATCAAGAAATTGAAAAATTGAAAAATTGTAAAAAAGAAAATATTGGTAAATCGAAAATTGAAAAATTCGGAAAATTGAAAAATTGAAATAAAGAAGAATTGAACACTCGAGAAATCGAAAAATTTAGAATTTTAAAAACTAAAAAATTAAAACATCGACGCGTATTTGAAAAATTGTGAAATTGAAGTATAAAACAGTCGAAAAATTGAAAATCCAAAAAGTAAAAAATCGACAAATCGATAAATCCAGGAGTCTAAAAATTGAAAAATTCAAAAATCATCGAAAAACTAAAAAAGCAAAGATCAAAAATCGTGACCTGAAAAAATTGAAAAATCGAAAACCTGAAAAATCGAAAAATTGATTTACGTTTTTTGTTTTTGTTAATTCTAGAGTTCAAAATATTCCGATTTTAATGCTAACATTTTTTAATAAACGTGAAATTTTACGAAGTTTGAAACTTTGTCAATCTTGTAATTTTGAAGATTTTTTCAATTAACTAATTTCAACTTTCTAGACTTGTTCTAGTAGTTTTACATTGTTTATGCTTATCAACTCAGAGAGTTCAAAAGAATTTTTACTAGTTCAAAGAGCAAATTTTGTAATAAAAACAAACACCAAATTTTGAGGAATTTTGTTTTCGGTTGCAACTCAAAACGATAACTTCAACGATTATAATTAATTTTAGAAATGTTACGAAATTCGTTCTTTTTTTAATAATTTTTATCTTTATTTAAACATTCTTTACCCTTAATAAGTTGTGAAGTTCATTTATTTTTGTAAACATTGAACGATGTGATTAGATTAAAAACTTTGGAATTTCTAAAAATTTTAAATTTTTTAAAGCTCCAGAACTTTCTCGGACCCATCAAAAATTTGATGAGGTCCGCTCATTTTATTGCTTAACTAAAGTTATACATATTTTACAAAATAATGTTCTTGTACCTGTGGTTTATGAATCTATCGTGATTTTGTTTATTATTATTATATTTTTTATTGTTTAATCCGTTTCATTCTTGAAGTGTCATTTTAAAGAAATGCATAGCTTCTTTACCTGTGCTTTAACACTACATACATACATTTATTTTAATTTATAGGGGTTATAGTAAAAAACTTAAATTTGCAAAATCAAATTTTAAAATTTTCGAAAAAGCTGAATATGCTGCATTATGCTTCAGGGGCAAGGGAAGTTCTGCTTAAATAAACATGGACCAGTTTTTTTATTAACATTAAGTCGCGTTTGATTTTCCGAACTGAATTTCGAGTACCTAAATTTTCAAAAATTTCAATCTTTTTCGTGTAGTTTCTTGAAATAATTTTCTTGTTGTAATTAACTCTATAGTTCAAAATATTTAGGATTTAAAATTGTTTAGAAGCTGAATTTTGCGACAACTACAAGCAAACAGTTTTTTATTCAATTTTCAAAATTTCGTCAAATTTTATTGAACTATTTTTTGCATATTATAAGTGACATATTTTTCAGTCGATAATGCTTTTTTTAAACATACTAAATGTGTTGTTAAAATTTCCATAGCCATAACTAACTTTAACTCTTACTAATTATTATTAATAATCCGATTTGTAACAACGCACTTTTACGAGTTAATTTAAAATTGAAATTAGATCCTCTATGGCAGCATTTTAATTCACGCAGGAGGTGAAACGTAAAATAATTATGGAAAATGAAATTATTAATTAAATTAAATATGTATGGCTAAAATCTCTTGAATGATTTATTCTGTTTAAAACTCGAGTTCCAATAATTCTCGATCTTTCACATTTTTAAATACATTCAAAACTAAAAGTAACTTAACTCTGATATGCTAAGCACGTGTTCCGTACCCACAAGGTTCGAAATTTCACAATTTTTAGTTTTTGACGTTTTTTTTTTTTCAAAATAGCTCCCGAGACTATTTTGAATGTGGAACCTTCAAATTAACAGAATATAATGACACTTGCAAAGTGCTAAAAAACAAATCACGAGCATCAAGCGAAGACAAACAAAAGAACAATAATTCACAAGGAATTTATTTATTTGTTTAACACTGAACGGTAAGTCCTCCACATTTTTTCGTATATGCATGTGTATTTCTCACTAAATATAGATATTTGGGTCTGCATTTGTCAGCGAAGCAAAGAACTATCACCAATATTGCACACACTAGGATTTGAATGTAAACGACCAATTAAAATATTCGTGCACGTGAAACATTCTATAAACATTCTTCCACCCAGACAGCAACAACCAACACTACCAAACCAAACCAAACTTTTCCACTAACTCCCGGTATCAATTTTTCGACTTTCCCGCCAAACCAACCCCCAAACTCAACTCCCCGTCGCACATTACGCAACTGACCTTCCTCACCACCCGACACAAAAACCCGTCATCTCGCAAAAACCCGCCAAAAAAATTTTCTTATTCACATTCAACAATTGCCCAACACCACCAACCAGTCGACTTTGAACTCGTAATTAAATAAAATCGTCGATATTTCGGCCAGTGCTTTCGCAAGCCACGAAAATGCGCTTGCACAATGCGATTATTCAAAAGTGGCGCTTCGCGTGCCGTTAAGGCGTCTACTTACTGGATCGGATGCAGCTAAAGCCCAAGCTCCACTGGCGCACTAGAACCCAAACGCGTGAGCACCGCACAGACGCGACATTAACTTTGAACGCTCGCGAGCGCGCTCCGATTCGTCCGGCGTGACCTTGGAAGGGGGTGGCTCCGTGCGAGGTTGGACGCGTTTGGGGGAATTTTGGCGGCGTTGCGAAATATATATGTGGCGTGCTGTGGCGTGGGGGTGGGAGGAATTCGGTTCCGCGAGGTGGATGGCGACCTTTGCGACGTTTCCGACAGATGGGAATTACGGCGAAGATTTGCATTCGTGACGTAGTGGACTGTGATTAATGGGCTGGCTGGATTGGGTTTGTTTTGTTGTCTGGTTTAATTAGCGTCTTGTTGTTGTTGGGTTAGGTGTGCGGTGTTTTTTGGTAAATAGTAGCGGTATCGTGGTCGGCTGGAGCTGGATTGGTGCCACAGGGCTCGGGTTTAGGACCCCTAATGTATCCTCTTTTTGTGGATGATATTAAACGTTTTTTTTTAAGTCGACCACCTGTCGTATTCTCATGATACCTAGTTTATACGTATACTACTATTGAGAACTTGTTTGATCTACGGACCAGAGCGCACTCAGGCCAATATCGTCTCTAAGCGATTTATCTATAAGCCGACTTTCGTTAGAGCTGATCTGATACACATTCAAGTTTTTGAACATTTTAACGATTTAAAACATAATGTTCCCGAATGACAACATTTACATTTCAAGTTGTATTATCAAATCGTAAAACGCTCACCAAAATTTGTCACCAACAATGAAATGACGTAATTTTAAAATTTTACAATAGTAGATGTAATTTATATTTTATAACCTCCGTTTACGGTTTATGAATCCGTGTTGAGTTTTTACCTTGGACGACAAAATTTTTGGAAAAAAAAATCAACAACATTGTACAATTTATAGTTATTGGAAGCGTGTTAGTCAAAATTTATCCCTTCATACCCCCAGGAATTGATAATGTCATGTTTCAATATTTCAATTTTGAACTTTTTCAGTTGTTCCATTCCTCAAATTTCCGATTTCTCCATTTTTTATTTTTCGATTTCTCACTTTTCCTATGTTTTAATGATGCGATTTCTTAATTTTTGTCCTCTTCAATTTTACGATTTTGAAATACATATTTCGATTTTTCAGTTTTTTAAAATTTGACCTTTCCCAAAGTTGAGATTTTTCACTTCTTCAATTCTTCAATTGTCGATTTTGTTTGATTGTTTTAGTTTTTCGATTTCTCAATTTTCCAACTGTTTAATTTTTCCATTTTTTGGGTATTTTTTAGGTTTTGGCATTTTTCAATATTTCGATTTTTCGACTTTTCGATTGGATTTGATGTTTCGATTTTTTTCTTTTTGGATTTTCAATTTTTCGTTAAACTTTAGATGTTTCCATTTTTCGACTGTTTTATACTTCGGTTTTTCAATTTTTAACTTTTCGATGTAATATTTTTTCAATTTTTCGAATTCTAAGTTTTCCGATTTGTCGATTTTTCAGTTTTTCGATTTTTAAATTTTAGTTCTTCGAATTTTTATTTTTTGATTTTTTGATATTTGGATTTCTCGATTTTTTAATTTTGTTCAATGTTTTAAATTTTAAATTTTTCGATTTCTTGATTTTATGAATTTTCGGTTCTTCAGTATTTCTATTTTCCAATTTTTCAAATTTTTGGGTTGCTAAATCTTCAGTTTTCCGATTTCCCAATTAATCTATTTTTGATTTTCTCACTTTTCGACTTCTCAAAATTTCCATTTGACAGTTTGTTAATTCCTCGATTTTCGTTTTTTCGACATTGCTTTTTTGGTTTTTCGATTTTTCAATTTTCCATTTTTAATTTTTCAATTTTTTGGGTATTTCTTTAGGTTTTGGCATTTTTCAATATTTCGATTTTTTGAGTTTTGGGTTTTTTGATGTCTCGCTTTTACTTTTTGGATTTTCAATTTTTCGTTAAATGTTTCACTTTTTCAACTGTTTTATACTTCGGTTTTTCAATTTTTGACTTTTCATTGTTGTATTTTTTCAATTTTTAAAATTCCAAATTTTTCGATTTCTCGAGTTTTCAGTTCTTCTTTATTTAAATTTTTCAATTTTCGATTCTCCAATTTTTCTTTTTTAAAAATTTTCGATTTTTCAATTTTTTGATTCCTTGATTTATCGATGTATTGATTGTTCAATTTCTCGATTCATCAATTTTTCAATTTCTGACTTTTCTTCTCGACTTTTGACTCCTCTTTCTCGATTTTTCGATTTTTCCATGTCTCAGTTTTTGAATTTTTGGATGTTTCAATTTTTTTACTATTGGGCTTTTTAATTTTTCGATGTTTCGATTTTTCAATTATTAACTTTTTCAGTTTTTAAATTTTTTCAGTTCTGGGGTTTTAATTTCTCGATTTGTCGATTTTTCAGTTTTTCGATTTTTCAATTTTAGTTCTTCGAATTTTTATTTTTTGATTTTTTGATATTTGGATTTCTCGATTTTTCAATTTTGTTCAATGTATTAAATTTTAGATTTTTCGATTTCTTGATTTTGTGAATTTTCGGTTCTTCAGTATTTCTATTTTTTAATTTTTCAAATTTTGGCGTTGCTAAATCTTCAGTTTTCCGATTTCCCAATTAATCCATTTTTGATTTTCTGACTTTTCGACTTCTCAAAATTTCCATTTTTCAGTTTTTCAATTCCTCGATTTTCTTTTTTTCGACATTGCTTTTTTGGTTTTTCGATTTCTCAATTTTCTAATTTTTTAATTTTTTAATTTTTTGGGTATTTCTTTAGGTTTTGGCATTTTTCAATATTTCGATTTTTCGACTTTTCAATTTTTGGACTCTTGGGTTTTTTGATGTTTCGATTTTTTACTTTTTGAATTTTCAATTTTTTGTTAAACTTTAGATGTTTCAATTTTTCGATTTTTCATACTTCGGTTTCTCAATTTTTAACTTTTCGGTGTTACATTTTTTCAATTTTTAAAATTCTACGTTTTTCGATTTCTCGTGTTTTCAGTTCTTTATTTAAATTTTTCAATTTTCGATTGTCCAATTTTTCTTTTTTAAAAATTTTCGATTTTTCAATTTTTTGATTCCTAGATTTATCGATGTGTTGACTGTTCAATTTTTCGATTCATCAATTTTTCAATTTCTGACTTTTATTCTCGACTTTCGACCCCTCTTTCTCGATTTTTCAATGTCTCAGTTTTTGAATTTTTCGATGTTTCGATTTTTGGATTTCTCGTTTTTTCAATTTTTTTACTTTTGGGCTTTTTAATTTTTCGATGTTTAGATTTTTCAGTTATCCCATTTTTCAGTTTTTCAATTTTTCCAGTTCTGGGGTTTCAATTTCTCGATTTGTCGATTTTTCAGTTTTTCGATTTTTAAATTTTAGTTTTTCGAATTTTTATTTTTTGATTTTTTGATATTTGGATTTCTCGATTTTTCAATTTTGTTCAATGTTTTAAATTTTAGATTTTACGATTTCTTGATTTTTTGAATTTCCGGTTCTTCAGTATTTCTATTTTTCAATTTTTCAAATTCTGACGTTGCTAAATTTTCAGTTTTCCGATTTCCCGATTAATGTATTTTTGATTTTCTCATTTTTCGACTTCTCAAAGTTCCGATTTTTCAATTTTTCAAATCCTCGATTTTCGTTTTTTAGACTTTGCTTTTTTGATTTTTCGATTTCTCAATTTTCCAAATTTTTAATTTCTCTTTTTTTGGATATTTCTTTCGGTCTTGGGATTTTTCAATATTTCGATTCCTCGATTTTTCGACTTCTGGATTCTTCGATTTTTTGAATTTTTACTTTTTGGATTTTCAGTTTCGTTTTTTAAACTTTAGCTTCTCAAATTTTCGGCTGTTTTATACATTTCGACTTCTCAATTTTTCCGTTTTTCGATACTTTAATTTTTCAATTTTTAAAATTCTAGATTTTTCGATTTCTGGTATTTTCAGTTCTTCTATATTTCAATATATGTATTTATTTATATATATGTTTCAATTTTCGGCATTTTTTAAATGTTCAATTTTTCAAATTTTTAAGATCTCGATTAATTGAAATTCGAATGTTTCAATGTTCAATCTCTCGATTTATCAATTTTTCCATTTTTAATTTTTCGATTTTTCGATATTGGCCTATTTACACCTGGTTACAAAAAAAAACGGAACAAATCACAGTGACATGAACGTCATATTCCCATTGCTTTTCATTGATCTATGAGAACCTGATTTGCTCATCTTGTCCAGTTTTTTGTGAAACCAACTGTATATTTCGAAACATCGAAAAATTAAAAAATAAATTGGAAAATTGAAAATTTAAAAATTCCGAAAATTGCAAAATTGAAATATAGAAGAACAGAAAACTCAAAAAAAACTAAAATTTGAAAAATTGGACAGTTAAAATATCGAAAATTTGAAAAATTAAGAAATCGAATTATAAAATAGTCAAAAATTTGAAAAATCTCAAAGTTCTAATAAAAAATAAAAAGTCGAGAAATCAAGAAAAACCCAGAACTCAAAAAATCGAAAAGTTGAAATACTAAAAAATCCCAGAACTGAAATATAGAAAAATTAAAAAATAGAAGAAAAATTGAAGAATCGAAAAACTGAAGAATCATAAAATTGAACGAAATATTCAGAAATTGGGAAATTAAAAATTAGAAAAATTGAGAAATCGAAAAGCAAAAAAGCAAACTCGAAAAATCACAGTTAATTCTTAGTTATACAAAAAAATTGTTGCATGTCAATATCGAATAAAACATATATTTCCAGAGGTGGTGGGGTTTTGATAGCAATGCGCAAATATTTCTCTGTTTTGCAGATTGATCTGTCCCCGCATGGTTTTGATGAGTTGCATTTAATTGACATTGTGGGGGTAAAACTTACATATAGATATGTCTCTTTCTACATTTTGGTAATTTATGTTCCGCCCAAGTCATCTGTTGATGATTATATCTCATTATTTAATTTGCTCGGTAATCTTGCTGATTTATGGAATGATCGTGTGGTTATCATAGGTGACTTTAACATTGCTGAATATCATATTGGTTTAGAGAACAATATTGTTGGTAATAACAAGTTGTCTGCCCTAAGCACTTTTTTAAATCTTAATAACTATTGTCAGTTTAATACTATTATGAACACT